TTTTTTGCGGAAAAGCACGTCTAGATTGGCCACAGATGCTTTTCCACAAAAAGTGCTTTTCCGGGAAAGCGTCCTGCCAATCTAGACGCTCTTTTCCAAAAATGCTTTTAACGGAAAACTTTTCCGTCAAAAGCTTTTCCGGAAAATCATGCCAGTGTAGACGTAGCCCTACTGTTTACCATGCCTTATACTAGCTGGCCACCGGTGGTGTGTGTAAGCCCACATTCTGAATAAATGAGACCATGTGCTAATGTGATTGCCACATGTCACTTGTGCCTCTCTATCAGACTGATATGATCCACCCTTCACCACTGAGTCCTACATGCAACCCATATTGTTCAGCTCTATATCCTCAGTCTAATGCTATTCTGCCCCATCAGCACTCCTATCTTTGTGTGCCTGCTGCTACTTTTTCCATTCCCAAGGTAACCCTGCCCACTGCTACGCAGACTCTGTCCTTGAGCCACACTCTATGGCCATTTGTGAATGCCTTTGTTCTGTCCCCACTTTGTTACCCTAACCAGGAACCCCATCTCCCTTGCTGTCCCAGCTCTGTGCCCCATACTGTCCTTGTGCAGTATTGTGCCCAGCTACTACCCTGGCCTGGAACTGTGCCTTCATGCCCAGCTTCTGCCCACACCTCCATGCTGGCCCTGCCCCAGGCCCAGAGGCTTGCCCTTCCCTGTCCTGACCCCCATCCATGTCCAGGTAGCTGCTGGCTCTCCCCCACACAATGCTCAACTAGTGGCCCTATCCCTCTCCTACATTACGTCCCGTCCCCCCATCCCCTACATGTCCAGCTACTGGTTCTTTCCCATGCCACACTGTGTTCCCTTCATGCCTGTCTACTGACTCTACCTGATATTGTGCTCTACTGTGCTTAGCTGCTGGCCCTGCCTTGCCCTCTCGCACACATGCCCACCTGCTAGCCCAGCTCTGCCTTTCTCCCATTTGTACCATTGCTAGCCCAGCCCTGCAGGGGGCTCACGCTGTACTCCTCTGCTGCCCTGCCCTTCCCCCTGTCCCACAATGTGCTCCCCCCATAGGCAAGCTGCTGTTTGTGCCCATCTGCTTCCATGAACTGTGCCCTTTCCCTCTCTCCAGTGTCTAGTTGCTGGCTCTGTATCCTGCTGTGCGCCCCCCACCAGCAGCTGCAGGCCTT